GTGCAGAGAACAAATCAAAATGAATGGAGTTAAGAGCATTATCAAATCAATTTCAAATTGATCTTTACTGTTGTCCTGAATTCTTCTTGCCTCACTGTCCTCAGTCCTGAAAGAGAACAGAACATAATGAATATCAACCCAGTGAGGTGGAGCACCCAGAGCTGACATCACTGAAAAACATGTCTGGACACAGTAGGAGAACAAATAACACTTGAAAGCTCAGGACACATCTGCAGCTAGCAGCATATCCATAACCTCAGAAGAGAAGGAGATATATGTCTCACCAGGACACAATATAAGTAAATATCAAGCCTGGCACACACCAGTGACACAGCTGTGTCAACAAGGAACTTGTGCTGGCAAAATTGTGATTCTGCAGTCATGTGTGTGCACCGAAAAAACTTAACTTGCACATGAAAGACAGAAGAAACATGATGTTAACACTACTGTGGATCAACATTGGGCAACTCTTATCTCATCGACAAAACCCTGAACTGTAGGGAATGGGCCTTCAGGTATAAGATAGGAATCTCAAGAAGGCTGCATGAGACACTTTCTCCAGCCATAGCATATTAAGATATTGTGCAGAGGCACAGAAAAAGGAAGGCGAAGATGAAGGAAGGACCTGGCCAAGCAGGTTGAGGGAAGCGATTCTCCTTCTCTACTCTGCTCTTTTGACACCCCATCTAGAGTACTGCATCCAGTTAGTTCTGGGACACCTAGTACAAGAAAGACATGGATCTGCCAGAGGGGCCCCACAGAAGAGCCACAAAAATGTTCAGAGAGCTGGAACAACTCTGCTGTGAAGAAATGATGAGACAGTTGGGGTTGTTCAGCTTGGAGAAGAGAAGGTTTCAGGGAGGTCTTATTGTTGTATTTTAGTACTTAAAGGAGGCTTGTCACTGGATTAATTGCTGATCCTGCATCAAACCATGACAATAATTATTGGGGGAAAAAAACCCAGCACAAAACCAAACAACAACAACAAAAAACAGTACAAAGAAAATTGGCTTCATCCTGGCTTAAACCAGGACAGCTTAATAGAAAGATGGAGAAGGACTTTTTCCAAGGCCTGTAGGATTGGACAAGGGGCAATGGTTTTAAACTGAAAGAGGGTAGGTTTATATTGGACATTGGGGAGAAATTGTTTACTATGACAGCAGAAAGACGCTGGAACAGGTTGCCCAGAGAAGTTGTGGATGCCCCCTCCCTGGAAGTGTTCAAATCCAGGTTGGATGGGGCTTGGAACAACCTGATCTAGTTAATGATGTCACTGTTCATGGCAGGAGGGTTGGACTAGATGATCTTTAAAGCTCCCTTTCAACTCAAATCATTCTATGACTCCATGATTATGTGGATCCACTTCTAATAGCAGAGTGCTGTGGCATCCGTGCCGAGTCCTTGTGTAACCTTTTTGCAGAGGTGTAATGTCTCTATTCCTGTTACTGCAATGATGGACAGCTGAATTTTTAAGTGAATGACTCACTACAATCATGCAGAAACATGGTAATAGTGTCTCACTCAGTTGTACCCTAATTTATCATGTCTTTTGCCTCATGTCTTTCTACTATCGCATGGAGGGCAGGTCTGGGAAGCAAACTATTAATCAACCTCTGCTGGTCAGAGGGGGCCAGTAACAATTTTTAGTCAGATCATTCAGGTTGTCATTCACATTTTTCATTTCAGCACACATTTAATCTGAAAACACTGGTCCTCCTTCCTTGTGCTGTACAGGTTCTTGGTGGTCATTGTCAGACCCTGCAGATTCATAGGGGCAAGCTTTCAATTCTCTGAAGCCAGACTTACTATCAAGGGCTTATGCCCTGACAGTGACTGCCTAGGCAGTGACAGGGGTAAAAAAACAGTAGTGAAAAGAGGAGAAGGAAAGAAGAAAGAATAAGCAGTTCAGCAAGTGGTGTCAAGAGGCTCAGGCTGAGATGAAATCTTGGACAAACCCCAAAACAGAAGAGGCGTGTGTATCATTAGCAGAAAATTAATGAGAGAAGTTCTGTGAATAGGTAAAGCGTAAAAGGAGAAAAAAAACCAACAAAACTGTTAAAATTGGTAGAATCTCATAAAAAGGGAGGTATTAGAAATCTTGTACATCAAAGGAAACATTCAAAATGCTATCAGGATAGAACGTGATAGCCAAGCAAAACATCTGACAATTACTAAAGAGTAGGGCTGAATCCATCAGTAATGTCAAAGATTATTGTGGATCTGAAAAGGACAACAAAGACAGAAATTCCAACATTTGGTCAGAAACTGTGGGGAGAGAAACTTCAAAAGAAATATTGGTGAAAGCCACAGCGAAAGATGAAGTCACAGAAAATGCATAAGGGATAAATGTCTCATATTATGACCTTGAAGATGAGGGAAATTCACTTATGAAATGGTGAGTGAACAGAAAGCTGTGATTTATGGGGAGTCTCTGAAGATAAACATTCCTGTATTTAGTGCTTACACCTAAATAGGTGCTACCTGACATTATTGAGATGGGATGGTTGGCTCTTGAGATAAGAGAAGCACAGACAGACAAAGAAAACATGGTTCCAGGAGGCAGCAGTATTAAAAAATTAAGAAGAAAAAAACACAAAGAAAGAAAAACAAAAAGAGGGAGAGAGAAAGGAAAAAAGGGAAGGAGCCACTCCAGAGCTCCAGCAGCCAAGACAAGAAAAAGTGGTGTATGGAAGAGAACTGAGTAGTTACTAAGAGATCTGTGTTTGTTAATTCGAATATCAGTCAACTTCTCATGGTAGAACTAGACAAGTGCAACAAAGAAATACTGGTGTGGCATGAGAACAGACACAGAGAAAGGGGAAATCAGCTCTTAGCTGGAAAAGAACAGATGTGATAATAATTAATAATAATAATAACAACAACAACAATCACAACAAACATGCTTCAAGGATTACAAAAAATCTAGAATAACCTAAAAATATCTCAAATTATTTTTACAAATATAATAGAACAAGAATTAAATATCAAGAATACAAAAGAAAATAATAATCTGCCAATTATTTACCACTAGAATCCCAAATGGTCTACTACAGAAATCCAACAATTTTTAGAGGACAATATTAGTAGTGGCATGACTTCTAACTGGAAAGACTAAAACTCTAGAGACCAGTTTCACCTGGCCAAGTTCAGACAGCTGTTTGTGAGCACAGGTACTCCAGTCTCCCTAGGGGCACTTCAGTTCAGCTCCTGGAGGATTTAATCACCTTATGCCTCACTTCTTCCTCTCTCTTTACTTAAAAGGAAAGACTAGGACAACAGGATTCCTGATTTAGCACTTACTACACAATTTTGGGGAAAGAATTAGGAATAAGCTCAGCTCCCTGGAACAGTAAAAATCACAGGGTGTCCCTTCTGAGGTCCTGTCAAAAGATACTGTGCAGTGAAATTCAAACAGGACACAGTCTCTTGAATTGCATTTGCCTACCTAATTTATTTCACCTGCAGAGAATCATTAGTAACTAAACTATCAGCATGAATGAAAATGAAAAAGTTGAGCTTGAGACTACAACAGATTCACAGGTTCATCAGCTGGCTTTCCTTTCTATGTGTTGTTTCAAAATTAGGAAAACAAACATAAAGCATGTGGGGTTTAAATTAATTTATTAATTTCTGCATTCTCTTTGGAAAAAGCTTTTTAGACTAAAGTGAAGAGTTTATTCAAATAATTTTGTGACCTAGAGTCTCTCCTGCACAGTAAAAGATTGGATGCTGGCTCAAGCATTGAGGTGATCATTCATTTAAGTGTGAGGTGCTCTCCCCCCAGCAACAAAATTTTAAAATATTACTGTATCTGTCCCAAGAAAGAAGAATGGAATTTTTGTCTATCATTTTTAAAATGTGCCATATAATTAGCAGTATTAACATTGAAGCATTGTCATTGAAAGTATAATATGAATGAAGTATTAGAAGAGATAGTTTTAACCATGCAAGATGATGAATTTGGTTCCCAACAATTCACTTTATGAAAAATATGTTCCAGCTTTTCTGTGCACCTGCTTTAATGTCCCTTATACAAAATTAATTTTCAAGTTATTCTTTTTTTCTATACATCCGTATTATTGAATTTTACAAACTATTATTATAGCTGGTCAAGGATCCAAACTAGAATTTTCCATACATGCCTACAATCTGCATGTCTGAAGACACATACACTGTAATCAGAGTGTTTTATGTAAACAAGGATTATTAAGCAATAAATTTTTTTCTTATGTAGGAATAGGGCATACAATAAAATTTGTCATCCTCCATACCAACTACTTTGTTAATATCAAGAATTCAAAAGTAATTTATAAAATAAAGCAAATAAAAATAGAAAACATTTAGTACAAATACCACTTGTTTTTTAAATACTACATAGTATGTATGCATTTATATGTCTAAAACTAACTTTACACAAATATACATTACTGAATAATAAAAACTGGGGTTTTCATTGCCAACATTAAAATAAACCATCTGCATGTACAATTACTATATCAATGTACCTCAAGCATTTTAGATTCTTTCATAATATATTTTTAATACTTTTTAGAAAACAGACATATCACCATCAGCAAATATGAAATATTGAAAAGTATTGCTTGTCATTTTTACCTTTAGATAAAATACAACATTTTCAGTAAAATGGCAACTGTACTAAACACAAAGTAAAATTATTTTTCACATTTTCCTTTAAGTGTCTGTTTTATTCTCTAATGATCACTGATGGAATCTAGGATATCCTGCAGCACTTATATTTATGCTAGTAGGTATTTTTAATCTGCTTCATTGTTACTGTTTCTGAAATTTTAAAACAAATATTCACTGACATATTCAGTATTTCTAGAGCTTGTTTTTTATAAAATTCTATAATCTATTATAATTAATTAATTATGTCAATAGTCTATAGTGACATGCTATAGAATCAGGGAGAACAGAAAGTTATAAGCTATCAAGATGTATATTTCTATTATACTATCTTGATTTAAATGAGCACATACCCCCACAGACATCACCATCTGCATTTTCACACTGTCTGTCATCACATTCACAGTTTTTGCCATGAACTCTGTTGTCTCCCGGAGGGAAGCAAGTGCATTGGCCACATTCACATCTCCCTGTAGGAATAAACAATTGTTAGAGTCATAAGTTCAGTAAAGTAAAATAAATGAATAAAAAAACCCCAAACCCAACAAATTCATCCTACACCCTATGCCCCAAAGACATACTAGAAGTCACTCTGTATTAATTAAAGAATGCACATAAACACTGTTTAAAATAAAATAAAATAAAAAACTCTCTCTCCTCCCTGGCAACCAGAAGCAAAGTGTATCACTGTTAGATCTTGGTGGAAACATCAATTAAAAATCATTGGCATTGTATGTTTTTCATGTCTCAACTTTGCGTAGCAGAGCTATGGCATAATTTAGCTGCATAATTAACATCTAAAATTGATTTAAACTATTTAGCATGTAGCACAGAAACTCAAAAAATACTAGAATTCAACAGTCTATGCACAGGTCTATTTAAAAATATCTCTGTTCATGAAGAAACATAACTCTTCAAATACTCTGTCAGGCATTTGGAAAGCAAAAACCACTATAATTTTTCTTGTCTAGGCGTGAGGAAACAGAAGTCAAAAGCACAGCCTCTGTCAGAGTCTTGCCTTCCATCAACCTGTTTACAGGAGAACTCCCCACAACTTAAAGGGAAAATAGACCCATCCAATCTCCCACAGACCTTCCACTCCAAAGCCCTCAGAGCAGTGAGTGTTAAAGGGTCAGATGTGAATAAAAAGTAAGATCAAGGACAGTCTTATGTTGCCCATATATGAGACAAACTTCAGTTCAGGGTTAACCCTGGTTTTGGTATTTCCTAAATTCTCAGAGTTGATCTCCCTGTTTTTAAAATTGTTTATTACAATGCTGCTGTGAGAATGCTCAAAAAATGACACTAACTGTCCTTAGTTACTAACTGTAACTAATACATTTGTTTGGGTTGTGAAAATTTGTTGTACATTAAAAAAAGGGATACCAGAGACATGGATTAGGATGCAGAAAATCCTGCACCTTTTAATCTTATTTAATCACAGCAAGACTTTACCTGGGCCTGGACACAGCTCTATTGACCACAGAACCCAAGTTTATGGTAGGAGCAACCATAAGTACAAAGCAAAAAAATCATCCAAGTGCAGCCTTTCAATATGTGACCAAAGAATTCAGCAAAACTGTGTGCAGTTTTGGGCACTGCAGTATAGGAAGGACATCAAGGTGCTGGAGAGGGTGCAGAGAAGGGCAACTAGGTTGATTAGGGGTCTGGAGAACAGGTTCTATAAGGACAGGCTGAGGGAGCTATGTTGCATTGGCAATTATATGAACATATTTGTTCCAGAAGGAAATTAATTATATGAAGTGCATTTAGGACATGATGAAATACAGTTGTATTAGGTAATCATGTGAACATTTAGGATATGTTTGTCTACAGAATGATTGATGTTATTCGCCTGCATTCTCTAAGCTATAATTATTTGCCAAGGACAGCTACATTAGAAACTGGGAAAAACCCATTCCTTAGTATTTAAATCTTCAGAAACTTTTAATGAGTCAAACTTATCATTATTTGGGGCTCTCATAGTTTCTTTCTGTGCATCAACCTTAGACAACCTGGCTAGTTTCACAAAAGTCTCACATCACAGTGTCCCAGAACACAGTCAGCACAGTAGACAGGTAGGTACCTGGTGAACAGGACCCATCTGTTGTGAAGACTATGAAATAGACAATAGAACCATTTTTCACGGTGGTATCCTGGCCAGCTAATGCTATAAGGAGGATGCCTGAAGGACAATAAAATCAGTTTAAGCAAGTTGCTTTGAAGAAACGAGTCAGTAGAGGTGGAATATCCTCTAGAGGCACAAGCAAAGAAAGTTCTGTAATGAGGCTCCTGCATGTCCTATAATTAAGCATTACCTTCTGTAATGCTTAATTAAATAAGTGAGAACGACCTGAGAGCTCAGTGGCTGGGCATTTGCACTGGAACGGGAACAGGTTCCACTCAGTCCCTGCTGCAATTAATGTTTACTCATTGTAGTTAATGTGGAACAGTTTCACCAGCAGAAAAACCTGAGGAATATCCCATCCTTAAGCAAACAGGGCATATTTTTGTCGTGTAAGAGATACAAGCTCAGATTGCCTTCTCAAAAGCAAATGTCAAGGGAGTTTAGGCCCTGCTTCCTCAGTCTTCTCATTTTAGTCAATGAATCAAACATCAACATAGCCAAAAAGCCCAAACTCCTTTCTGGTATCTATCTCTACCCCTTATTGTTTTTTGTTGGGTTTTTTTGCTGGCTCCAACCTATGTTCAGGGTATGGTTTAGACCTTGAAAATGGACAGAAACCTCCATCAGTAAGAGGCCTGGAAAAGGATTTCTCTGAGCTCTTTCTTCACTTTTCAATATTGAAATAGATAGTTATAGCAGGTTAGGACACTGCTGCTGAAATTGATACACAATTCATTACTCCATCTTTCCTTTTAAAAATGTGACAAAATCAGGACTAGGATTGTGAGAAGTGAATTTAGTGGTGGCGCTTAATAATTGTGACTTTGTACTGAGTGAAAAAACATATCTTACCTCCAAAAGTACTGAGATTTTTGTTAGATTATGCAAGGTAGGCTCACACTGTGGAGATAACTTCAGAGAGAATTAAAGTCCTATTGCTTCTGAACAGCTAATTATATAGGATGTAGTAAACTTAAAGACTCAGTTTATCAACATATAGATAAACACAAGCATTCTGTAACAATAAATTTCAGGTTACTTCCCTAGGAAAACCTGAATAAGATATTTGGAAGGTAAGCTTGCTTCAGCCACACTATTACTTTGTCAGGTGCACCTGCTACTGAAATAACAGAAGTCACACCTTACTCTATGACCTTCTTCTTTTAGTTATCATTATAAAATGCTTACCATACAAATTCAATCAATCAAAAGTAATTTGAAGCTCACATTATACTGAAAAGGGATTAGCACTTTACTAAACATACTCTTTCTTTGTCTAGAATAATAGGTTTACCATAGCAACCTGATTATAGAGGGAAAGCTACTGACAAACACATCCTAAATTCTTTTTAAATTCCAGAGCATAGAGAAACAATTAAACACCAGAGGACTATAATATTCTGCATCTTCTTAACTGTCTGTGCAAGAGCTACACTTTATGAGTAAAAAAAAACAAGTTCACATCAGACATTTTATAGCAAGTGGCTTCCTCTCCTCCTTGTTAAATGAGGATAAAAGATTTCATGATCTGATGACCTCAGATGAAGGAAACTTTATGACAGATCAGCTATTAGCATTGAAAAGCTTAACCTATTTATTGCAATGCAAGATTCCAGATTTAAAATATCTATATAATTTATTTATTTGTATGTAGTCTCAATATTTCCTTGTACTCTTTTTTCCCAATAATGTTGATAGGAGTATTGACTTATTACGAATAATTGTTATTACTTGAAGACTGAAAAAAAGACCAGCTTAGGATGTGGGGTTTTTTTTATTTTTAGAGGGAATTAAACAGCCACATCTCATTAAAGCATCTCATGGGAGTTTGTTAGATAACTGTCTCTAGAATTCTAAAAATCCATGCCTTAAGCATTTAGCTTTTTCTTTTATTCACCATTCACTACAGCATTTTTTCATTACTTTTGTCCAACATTTATGAAAGCACAACTAAGCAAGCAGTGCCTAAACGTACATTAAACCTGCTCCCATGCAAATCGCCATGATCATTAGCTGCATGCATTCAAACCAGTTTCCAGCTGCCCATATAGGCTGACTGAAAGTCTATTTTGTACAGGTAATTTTCATTTTAAAACACTGTGCTAGAAGTACGTAATTTGTGTAATAAATAATTTTTACCCTGCTATTGCAATAAAAAATAAAATTAGGAAGAAACAGCAATAACTTTCAATGTAAAAATAAACACACTATATAATAAGTTGTGCTTAATTGTCTTTTCCTGTCTATAACTCTACAACATTAACGATTTTCAGTGCATGGTGCTGATTATCTTATAAATGAAAACAAATAAATAAAACCATTTTTAACATTTTCTTTTTAAATGTGTCAGGAATATAGTGCCATATTGCACTGAGATTGTGGTAAAAGCAAACCAGGTTCATTGGTACCTCGGAGAGACTGCGTTTCAGACTAGTGATAAATAGAAGAGAATGTGCCTTTAGGAAGGACTTTTCTGCCCCACGGCTGTCCCTGGCTTAACATCTGAAAGCATTACCCATCAGAAATTGCTTTGTTATCAAGCAATCTCAGACAACCTGAGCACATTCAGTAAAGCTGCTGTGTCTTTCTGCCAGCAGAACCCATTTCATGCTGGATGGGAACAGATGATCTAAAATAATGTTCAGAAATGGCAAATCTGACAAGGGGGATGGGAAGATTTGTACAGAAGGTCACAAAGTTTCAGGGGGAAGCAGATGTGACTTAAGGAAGTATTAGATAGGATGTAGCAGCTACAGGTAAGGAAAAGGAAAATTCCCTGAGTGGGGGAGGGAAAAAAAAAAAGACTAGTAAAGGAAATAAACAGTACCACAAAATGGGCAAACAAAATGCAGGCCTTACCAGAAATAGGATGGACAATCTCATCACGCCTCCCTCAGTTTGAGGCATTAAGAGCAGTCCAATCCAGCTGAGCTTGATCAACGAGGAGAAATTTATAGATTCAGACAGAAAACAACTGCAGGGTTCTCAGTGGGCACAGATAGTTTATTTTGCATGCCCTATTCCCAAAATGAATGATTTTCCACACCTAGAATGGCTTTTCATTAACTAAAAATTAAAACAAATAAATAAATAAAGGCATATAAAAATATTTTAATGGTTACATTAAAAAAAAAATAAAATAAATATGCCTCATATGTGGAGGGATCTCTGGCTTTTAAAATGCTGGTAATTCTTGGACCTGGTTGGTTGGATGGTTTATGAGGTGGTAGAAAAAGGGAAAGTTTTTCACTATGTGGAAAAGTAAAAAAAAAGCATTTTTAGTATGTGGAAAACTAACCTTGGAACCTCTTTAAATATCTGAATATCTGGCTGATCTGACAC